TAACTGAAATTTTGGGGGTTTCCTCCCTCCCTTTTTCCCCCTGCCTTTTTGTTTGTTTCTTTGTTTTCCTAATGAGTACAGGCTTACCGATTTCACAAATTTCAGAATCTAATATACTTTTATTCTAAGTATGCACTTGATTATTCATATTTATCATAAAAGACAAAGCTTACTTTATCTACTGTATCTACAGATGCTTAATAGATCTCTTTTTTAATAACTCTCATAGCTCTCCATCTCTGTTAATTTGACTGTTGATTCAACTCAATTATTAACAGAATAAATGAACTGGGCAACTTATTCCTGATCCTTCAAATGTAACCAAAAAAATCATAATTGCTACAACTTTCATGTGCTGTAGGACTCAATACTTATGAGACAAGTATGTTTTAAATACTAATAATCATAAGGAAAAAATAGTTCACAGAGATTTTCTCATTCACACGCTGTCATATCTCACCTTCTACAGTACTTTAGCCCTCTTGGGTATTTATTTAACATCTTTGGTGTATCAAATAAAAACTTAACTCCTCAGAACAGGTATCTCTTTCCAACCTGACAAAAACTGTTGGGACAGTTTATCTAATTTTCCAGTTACCTTAAATTATGCAGATAAAATTAACAGTTTGTAATTTATAACAACAAGAGGGTAAGATGAGGATGGAGAGGAAACTGACTGACAAGGAAATCCTGATAGATTTTTAAGATGAAGAGAAATCAAATGCCTTTCTGAAGTCTTACTTAAAAAGAAAAATCCTCTGCTAGTAGTTTTTACACAGCTAAGAGAAAAAAATCATGCTTAGGAACTTTGCCTCAACATCAGCCTCACCAAAATTTAAGCAGGAGTTTTTAAGATAATGCTTTTAAGATGTGCCAGGCAAGAGAGAGCAAATGACTACCTGAGGTGGATCTAGATATTGGAATTTGTTTAAGAACCAACAAGATGGGAGCTTTTACAACTACTTGATTTTATTTCACACTTTCCATCTATTCCATCCATAGCCCCAGTTCCTGCAGGGAAGGGGCTGCTGTCCCCAGATGCTGAGCAGGAAATCAAGTCCTTCCCTGCTGTATGGCTGCTCACCTGTCTCAGGCATCACCAGCCAGTAGCTTTGGTACATCCCCTGGCTTCCATCTTACCCACAGCTCTCTAATCTCCAGGATCTCTCCCATTTTAAGGACTTCTCCAGTCAGAAGCTTTACCTTTTTCCATTCGGGTCCCCCTCCTTTGTTTCAAGACGTCCTGGAGCCCCAGACAAGTCACTTCCCTTTAGTCCGGATGTTTACAGTCAGACTCTACAACTCCAGGGAGCAAACAGCAATTTTACACTTGAGACCCTGAAGATTTGAAGTTGATCACTAACCTTCACACATACACTCAACTACCGGGTACTGTTAGTATTCATGACTTAAGCTATTTTTTTTTGCCAAGAAGACTAGCTAATATTAGCCTGATTTCACTTCCAGTGAAGACAATTGGATTAATTTTACTTGTTTCAGGAATTTTCAGTAATACTATTTTCCAAGAGCTGATTATTTGTTGCACATAAATGCATTTTTCTGAAGTGGTTCAACTAATCCGTTACAGTTGTTTGCCCACTGGATTCAATTATTCATGTGTGAATAAAACTTTTCCAAAAATGTTGCTAGTATAAAAGGCTCCAGAAATGTTCATATATATTACAAACCTCATGCTCCATATCAGAATTAAGGAGATAAATGCATTTTCAAGCTTTGCTGGAACTATTGGAGGGAGTCATGGAACAAAAGAAATATATGATATATTTTGTTAGCTTATGGATTATAACAATTATATAACCAATATAACAGTTACATAACCAATTTATTTTAAAAAGTAATAACATGCTACTGGGTCAAGGAACTAAAATCTAGAATACAGTACCATGGTCATCTTGGTTGCTATTAATTCAAGTCACAGGAAAAAATTAATCAGTATAGGTACACAATTTTAGGCATGTCTGAGTGACTCATTTTTTAGTTGCTTATCAGTATATATATATTTACCAGCAAGAAACAAGATGATTTCACTGGTAAAATCTTGTAGAACTTACTGTATGTAAGAAAGTGGCAAAACTCTGCTTGTTCATAATCCTCAGTTTTCAATGGGTTATGTAATTGGGTAATATTTGGATATATTGACAACAATAGAAAAAGATGCACAAAATCTAGACCTGTATAAAGAAAAATTCAAAATATTCCACTATGAACAATAAAACATCCTGTTTTCGTAAAATCCTGTTTCAGGAGCTCTAAGCAATACTTTAACATTTCCCTGTGGGGTTTGATTTCAGACTGAATCAGACAGCTGGCATAGATGATTTCAGCCAGAATTACTACAGTTTTGACAAACTTTCAATTTAACTGAAACACAGTTTTACTTGAAAAGTAGTAATGTGCTCTTAGCCTTGCTCATAATTTCAAATCTGAGACTCTGGCAAGTATTAAAACTGCCAGCAGAGGCACAGGATATGTACAACTTTAAAGACTATTCTTAAGTAGTATCTGCAGCATATGAAAATCTCTTCTTTATGCAGAAAATTTTCTTTTAAGAAATTACTCATATTGCTTCTTGTCAGTGCTGGCAAGTCAAGAGAATGGCAACAAAACTAAATAAGCTTCATTTGTGATTGATTTCTAGTATCCCGCTTATAAACATAAAGAATTCTCCACAAATATTGGAAACCCAAAACACTTAACTCTTGATGATGTTTTCCAAGGAGCTGTTAAATTTAAATTATTGTTTCAGCTTTAGATTTAGCCTCCTAAGAGACAAATTATGCTAAACAGACTTGGTTGTTTTATTTTTAGTATCAGGCAAAGGGACAAAAGAGGAGAGGGAAAGGGAGAGGGAGAAGCAGAGGGAGCTGATCCCTCATTTGAAGATATACTGGGACTCTGGTAATAAGAATCTGTGGGAGATGTATTTCCCCAGCGAGGACTCAGCTCACCGTGGGTTTTAAGATTAGGTCCCACACATGTGCAAGTCATTTTGCTTGAGGAAAGGACTCAGAATAAAATGACAGAGTTCCGTGCTTATTTTGCTTCTTATATGAAAAGGAAAGTTCAAGACAGATTATTATTTTAGGACAGCATATCAGATCTCTTTGAAAGTTGCTCTGATTTATTAACCTGCATCTCTGGGGAAAGGGAATCGAATACTCATATCCAATGACAACAGAAGCCAAGCATCTAATTTCCTTTGGCTCTTCTGAAACCCTAGCATACATTTCTCAATTAACTGAAAGCAGGTTCTCTTTTACCGTAATGCAGTGAGATTTCTTTTTGCATTGTACAAATACTCTTCAGCATTTCATCTTATAACAACATATAAAAGTATACTATTAAATGACAGTAAGATTAAAACAAGTCCAAATGCATGCACAAAAGAGTGATAAAATTAACACTGAGGAATCACTTTTGAAACACTGGCCTACAAGTAACTGGCATCAAAGTTTAACACAGGTACTTTACAAGATTTAAGATGTACTTCAGCATGAAAAGGTCAAACCTATATGGAATTGTATCATCTGTGATGAAGATCATAAATACAAAAGCAATATATAAATAATATAATAATCTGTGCGGTAAATGTGCTTCTTTTCCCCATATTTATTATTTTCAGTGGTACTCAGAACCCCAAATAGAAGAGGCTTCAAAGATAAACTATTTAAAAGCTAAATAGATCCTATGAAAAACTGTTTTGTTGTGACAGAAGACTTTAGTTCATGAAGCACAGATTATGTAAAAACATTTTCTGAACTGTCCAAAAGACCGAACTGTATGTTCTTACATTGACTGAAAATACAATATCCTCTTTTCCAAGACTTTCTCTAACAATATTGTTTTTTCAACACTGTTCCAGATTCCTTTGTAAACATAACCTTTTAAGTAAATTAATATCATAGGAAGAGCAAAAATGCATTTATTCTCTTTCTTTACTAAACTGGCTAATTTGTTTTTAGTCAGACTTCCAGCCTCTTAGCTGAAAACAAACCTTAAGAAGTACAGCACAACCAAGACACACTTTCTTCTTTACAAAATCATTAGAACCTATGTTCAAAATTATTCCTGTGTTTCTGAGATTCTGCTCATATTTAGAAAGTAAGCTTTTTATAGCAACTAATATCTACCTAAGACTGCTGCTTTTTCCTCTCTGCTGTGCATTTCAGTTACTGAGATCTCAAGGTACAGGTTTCACTTCATAAGTGTGGCTGAGAGCAGCCTCACACAATCTGTGGTATATAGCAAAAATGAACATGACAGCCACTAATGATCCTGAAAGTGCTGCAGAAATAAAAAACGGCACACATACCTACAAAAAGACAAATAAGCTGTGTTACTGACAAATTCTTCAAAATAGTCACAGACTACACAGAGTTCTTCGTACTGGTTGTTGCTACAACTCCCATGTTTACCAGGATTAAAAATGTGGAATTCTCTCTAATACATGCAGCCTTCAAAAGCATTATGCTATTTAACATTCTGTACCCATTAATCTGACCCTCCCCAAAGGTAGTGGGTATTCCAGTACAATACCCACTATCCATCTGGAAGTCTTTCCTAATCTGGGGTTTGCTTTTCTAAATGGCAGATCAGAGAGACTAGGTTTTACCCATGATATTACTATGGAGTTTCCATAATAGTTTGTTTACCAATTGGTTTGCTCACTTTTTTTTTTTTTAAATGAGAAAACTGGAACATACAATGACCATCACAGAAATCAGTAAAAATAATCAAATATTTAAAATTTAAGCACAAACATGGAGGATTCCTGTTATAATGAAAAGAAACAAAATTTATAGTAGTACATTCTTGGCAACACAGAGGAGTCATCAAAACTATGGCACTACAGTTTTTGATGCTAGCACTTTTGCCAGTAAATTATCAGAAAATAGAGCTATCCAAGTGTCCTCAAAACGTTAGTTTTTTTACTCATTGTACACTCAAAAGGTATAGGATTAGTTTTTCTATTAAATTACCTGTCCCAACGATCTCCAGTCTAGACTGGCACTTCCAATGTATACATGCTGTTTGTCAACAATCCAGAATGATGACTGAAGCCGACCTTCATTATATGCTGACATGTTCATATACAACACTTCAGCACCTAGAGATTTAAGGATAAAAATAATAAGTGGCATTACTTAAGATAATTTACAGTATTAAAAGAAGAAATGTTCACATTTCATGGCCTCAATTTCCAAAATTAATGAGTGGCATAATGAAACATATCATTAAGGTTTAAAAGCAATGATAAACATTGTTACTGTCCCAATATTTTAATTAAAATATATTCCAGTTATATGAAGAAATACTTAATGCATGTCCCAGGCACAGGGAGCATTCCCATACGTTATAATGTTTACCTAATTTCCTTCCACTTAAGAATCAAATAATTGATTTTTTTTTTCCAGCACTGTATATTCCTAAAAATAGTTCATCTCTAAATTTCTATTCTGTAGCACTAACCAGCTACATATTGCAATAATGACCTTTAAAATATGAATGCAATTAAAGTCCCTGCCTAAAAAGCAGACTCTGCTCTGCTCCTCCTGCCCCGTGCAATGGTTTGAGCAGGTAGTTGCAGTGGCTGTGGCACAGAATGGATCCTGATAAGAGAAACATGGGTGGAGAATTAAGGAAGTAAGCAAGACCTAAATAAATTATGTTGAAACTGCTCTTAATCGTACTAATCTGTGATATTCAACCAACCACTCTGAACGGCACAGTTTTATTAATGACGATAGGCCACTGAAATCAAAGGAGCGCCTTATTGGCTCCATTGCATCATTAGGAATGTCTGAATTGGTTCCATCTGTATGTTTGCAGAACTAAATCCAGAATATACTTAATATTAGGTAAGTTTAGGTGATTTCTCATACCACTACTGCTCTTTCAGTGCTCCAGTGTTTGCAAAATTAGGTGACTAATCTGAATTAATCATTGCTGAAGGCATTTTACAGTAACCCACTCATCTTCACGTTTCAGTCATGACTAACCAGGGGAGAGAACTGACAGTAAACAGCAGCCTGGGGGACAGTGATTGTACCAGCCATTTCCTACTAAACATTCATGGGACCTCCAGTACCATGAATTCCAGTAATGGCTGATTATGACTCACAATTTTAAAAGAATTCCAGCATACACAGAGAACTAAAATGTATTTCTTTTTATCAAATTTCTTATTTTTGATCTCCTAAGAAACATTTGACTTGCAATTTTAGGCAACAGTTACCAGTGCTAAATATTTCTTTATTATTATAGAAATAGTAACTTTCCTTGAAAAAATATTCTAAATGTTCAGATATCAAGAAAAGAAGACAATCAGGTAAGGTGCCACTTACCAAGATGCATCAAACATGCAAAATAACATTCTGAGCACATCACAGAGTTTGGTTCATTAGTCAACTGCATTGGTGCAACCCAGCTACCTTTCCAATTTTTTGTACGTTTCACTCACCCACACTCATGAAAGCTTAGAAACAAAGATTTTTCCCACTTCCTTGAAACATATTGCTGCTACTTTCAACTCATGCATTAATGAGTAGAACTGTGCTAATTATTGAGAAAATGAGTGTGAAATGGAAAAGAAATCAGAAAACACTATAGCAGCTGTTAAATGGTTTAAATTGTTTCCTGGTGAATAAACAAAACAAAAGCAACTGCTCTTAGCTAAGGACAAACATTCAGTAAGACACCAAACTTCTAGCTAGTGACCTGAAAACTATGTTTAAAATCCAGTTTAACAAAGAAGTTTGATGCTTGATGATGTTTTCTTTCCATGCACCCAATTTGCAGCATTAAATAGCAGTATGAATTTAACACCCACAACACACCTACACTAAACAGGTTATAAATGAAATGTTAGGATTTTTGCATAGTAAAGATAAAAAATTAGGAAGCAACAATGAGCTTCCTTCTCAAAAGGGAGAGCCTAAAATAAACACAATTTAAAAACATTTTTGAAGCATCTAATGACAAACAAAAATGCTGACTGCCAAAGCTATAACAGGAGACTATATAACCAGTAATACTAACTTTAAAAATAGCAGACATCATCAGTAACTTGACACAAAATTCAAAAGTTGTAAAACACCAGCATTTGTTGGTGTGGGTTGTTCAGATATGGGCAAAAGCAGTGGGTTGGGACTATTACTCTAAAATACAATCTAGGTTTCAATTACCAAAATAGTGAATATAGCAGTGCAGAAGATACTGCTATCACATATACCAGTAAAATCAAAGCCTGGAACCCAATTTCTTTTCCTTTTGGAAACATCCAACTGGTAAGTGAACAAGTAAGGAAACACTACCTCCCAGTTAATAAAAAAAAAAAAAAGTCATTTGTTGCAAGCAGCAGCTGTTGTGCAACCTATTAATGAGCCCTTACCTTTTGATGAAAGGAAACATGTATCAATATTGATAATTGCCTCTGTTCCACAAGCTCTTGAGATGCTTTGTTAAAATAGGCTTATCAAGCCTTCAACACAATCCACCATCCCTAGCATGGTTCAGGTCTCATGAGGAAATTAAATTGGACTGATCAATATGTGAAGCCATAACAGAACTCTCTGTCATGCTGTAGTCTCAATTACACAAAGTTGTGAGTCTACTGAGTTCCTCCAAAAGAGAATATTTGTAGGCTTGATTGCTAATAAACATGCCAAATAAATCTAACTATTTTGTTTCACTGGAGATTAAAATTCAGGATGAGAACTTAAAGAGAAAACCAGTGCTGTCACTTAAAACTCAAGTGGATTTGTCTGTCCCTTAAAATTGTGCGCTCTTAGGGCTGGGACAGATTACACATTTTCTGCAGAAAAAAAAACACAAAAAAACTTACACTGTAGGGATCAAAGAATGTTGTAAGTAACAGACATTTATCTGAGTACTTTTTCTTCTTTTTCACACTGATTCAGTCTGGGATGCACAGAGGGGACCTTACCATTGAGAGCCTGGACCCTCTGCACGTGATGTGAACTCAGCCCCTGGGAAGTACCAGACTGCAACTTAGCCTCTAGCTTTGTCTCATAACGGAGGAAGATAACAGAAGGTATCAGTAGTATTACAAGAAAGACTGACTCTTCATCCATTAAAAAAAAAATCCAGTTCCCAAAGTAATCCCAAAGAAGAGGGATGGGCCAAGCAAATGACATTTACAATTTCTAGCCTTGCAACATCCCGTTTGGTCCAGCTGCCAGCTCTCAGCCACTTTGCTAACAATGTCTGAAAGCTACAGGGCAAGCTTGACTTCAAGAGTAGGAACTTGAACAGAATTGGGATTGTTCAGCCTGGAGAGAACACTTCATGGTGACCTAATTGTGGTTTTCCAGCGCATGAAGGGAGCTTACAAGGACAGAGATGGTCTCTTCCCAAGAGTATGTTGGAAAGAAGGAAGCATGAAGGGGAATGTATTCTAACTGAAAGACAGTAAATTTAATTAGATATTAGGAGGGAACTCTTTACTGTGAGGGTGGTGAGGCACTGGAACAGGTTGCCCAGGAAAGTTTTGGATGTGCTGTCCCTGGAAGTGTTCAAGGCCAGGTTGGTTGGGGCTCTAAGCAAGCTGGTTTACTGAAAGCTGTGATCTTTAAGGTCCCTTCCTACCCAAGCCATTTTATGTTTCTATGAACCAAAAGCTAGGACATTTTTTAAATATTTGAGGCAAAACATTAAACTCTAAGTAGGGACCTTTGATCAAGAGCTCATCACATACACGCTGTCATGAAAACCTGTGTCAGACACATTCCAGTGTTGTGGCAGCTGTGTTGTGGCTGTGGATTTTAGTGCTGCTCAAGCAAGGTCACCAGACAGCTACACAAAGTGGGAGATTCTTCCTCCTGGGAGACTGCAGGGGGTCAGAACTCACAGGGCTGCCACCTGGCTTCCATACATCAAGTTTACAAACATCAAGTTTGTGCAACAGTCTGGAGAAGGAGCACCTTCTTTGGAGGTCTTCACTTTCTTGAGGCTTTGGATCCAACACCTGTGAGCTTCTTAGGATATTGTCCTACTGTACTGAGGCAACATCATTATGCCAGATTCTCTCACTGGTGGATGCAGTGATTAATTTTGGTAATGAAGACTCAGAAAGAGCAACTATTTAGGCTGCTATTATCACAGCTGCCTTGAAAGCAAACATGCAAATTCTGCTTGCCACAGTTTTCAGCAGTACCAGTTACAAGCTAAACTCACTCTGGAGTTAGCAAACATAACGCCCAAGAAACAGAAGCTGCATTTGCTTGTGCCATGCCTAAATTGGCCTTCTGTCTTCACAACTTTCTTACTTTTACTATAGTGTTTTTAAAACCAGAGAGAAAGAAAAATAAGGGGAAGAACTTTAGGAGTAAAAGGAGAACCACAGTTATCTGGGAAATCTGTACAGATACAAATGTCTCTTTCCCTATATTTTGCAATATATGCTTTAATTTCATTTATTTGCTTCCAATAATAACCTTTAGCACAAAGTACATCCATGAATAAACATAATTTTTATTCTGAGACAAAAATTCAGTTTTCAATACAAGCAGCCACAAGTGGTGAAGTAGCTGTCTCTTTTGGGGTAGACACAAGAGACCCAGGTGGAGGATCACCTCCCCATGAATTTTCAGGGTTTTTTCTCAACTGATTGCAACTTCTTCCAGAAGCCCCATTAGTGTGACCTGCCACCACTCAGAAGAGGACAAGTACAAAAGCAGAGGAATGCACAACTTGAAAATAAAGTTATTTTTACTAAGTCTCTGAATGATTAAAAGACAAACTAGACTATTTCCTATTCCTGTGCTCCTTATGGCATATTGGATTTGAAATGAAATTTGAAAGTCTGCCTGGCCCAGAAAGATTAATGATTCAGATTTATTTTAAAGAGAGAACACTCAAGGACTTTTAGGGAAATCTCTGATGGTAATACCCTAACTTTGAATCAGCTCTTTTGTTTACATTGCCCTCTGCTTTTCTCTCTCATACATATCCCCCTGTCCTTTTTAAAAACTAGAAGGACTGAATCCTGTCACTCTGGGATTATGTGCTGTTCATCAGTCTAAAGCCACAGTAACTTAAAAAAGAAGCAGCCTAGAATCTCAACCTTGCTGCCTTTTCTTTAGCAGC